CTGTTTTGTTTACAGGTTTTGTTTTTGTTAATGTGCTACACTCCATGAGAATATCTTAAAACATATACCCGCAAGGCCTGTTCCAAGATTTGGGAAAAAAGAAAACGACCTTTGTTTAAGCATATCGCTTAATTCAAAACATTTCAACAATTACGATGTTATTTAAGTTGGAAAGCAAAACAAATAAACAAAACATCAGTGGGTCCTCTGCGACAAACAGGAAAAAAAGCCAGAAGGCATTTTACTCCCTATAAAGCAGGGCATTTTGTACAGTGTACTTAAATTGCTCTCAGGGGCTCACTCATCAGACCCACTTTTCCAAGCATCAGCTAAAATCTATGCTTGGCATAGCCCATAACTAAGGACATGTGATCACAACCAATAATTGGAAAATTACAGTGTTACTGAAACTATTGCTGATGTTCTTGTGGTCCTCCTATTAGCTCATATTGTCCATCACCAAAGGGAAAAGAAGGTGAAAGATACTCAAGTTATTAGTGGGTTGGAGAAAAGGCTGGGAGAAATTTAGTGATACCCATTGATTTCCCACACATACAGAGCCCAGGAGAGCCACCTTCTGCAGAGAAGAAAGAGAAAGGAGGTCTCATGTTGGGGGGATTGGTTTTAGAGATGAGGAAGAATAGCAGAGCTGTAAGACATTGGAATCACTGTCTAGGAAGAGAGTGGCCTTTTATCCAGGGCTACTTAAAAACAAGACAGAGCTTCGTCTATCTCCCACAGTTCAGATATGAAGAGAGAATGATTAAATTCTTCTTCTAGCCTGATGAGTCTATAGTATATGTTAGAAATGTTTGTGAATGCCTGGGAGAAACCTGTCCACAAACGAATTGCGTGTTGAGCAATCAGCTCTGTCCACCTGCTGTGTTCAACAAGCAACTGCTGACATCTGCTCAGATGTGCTCACCACAAACCACACCAAATATAATCCAGACAGGGTAACTAGGTGAGGGTGGATGTGCTAACTAACTTGATTGTGGTCATTTTACTATATACCTATATATATATATATACACACACACACACACACTATATATATATATACACACACACACACACACTATATACACATGCACTATATATATACACACACACTATATACACACGCACTATATATATACACACACACTATATACACATGCACTATATATATACACACACTATATATATATACACTATATATATACACACACACTATATATACACACACACTATATACACACGCACTATATATATACACACACACTATATATATACACACACTATATATACACACACACACTATATACACACGCACTATATATATACACACACTATATACACACGCACTATATATATACACACACACTATATATATACACACACACTATATATACACACACACACTATATACACACGCACTATATATATATACACACACACTATATACACACGCACTATATATATACACACACACTATATATATACACACACACTATATATACACACACACTATATACACACGCACTATATATATACACACACACTATATATATACACACACACTATATATACACACACACACGCATGCGCTCACACACACGCACATATAATCATCACAGCGTATACCTTAAAATCATACAATTTTATTTTTCAATTTTCCTCAATAAAACTGGGAAATTAAAAAGGAGCAACTATTGTGGGTCTTTAATAAAAACACCTGTTTAGGACATAATGGAATATAATTTTATGTTTGCCCCTTCCTACATAACTTTGTGTTCATATCTTCCTTTTCATCTTTCTCTGTACCAGCTACTACTAAATTATCACGTCTTTCTGTGTTTCTTCTTCTTCTCCTTTTTTTTTTTTTGAGATGGAGTCTTGCTCTTGTTGCCCAGGCTGGAGTACAGTAGTGCAATCTTGGCTCACTGCAACCTCCACCTCCCGGGTTCAAGCGATTCTTCTGCCTCAGCCTCCCAAGTAGCTGGGATTACAGGCACCACGCCACCACACCCGGCTAATTGTTGTATTTTTACTGAAGACCAGGTTCCGCCATGTTGGCCAGGCTGGTCTTGAACTCCTGACCTCAGGTGATCCACTCACCTTAGCCTCCAAAAGTGCTGGGATGACAAGCCTGAACTACCGCTCCTCATCATTGCATCTAGTTTTATAAGCCATCTTAAACTCTGGAACAAGAAGGAATATCACTGAGTAAAATGATTTCTATAAATTAAAGGCTAGGGGGCTTTTCATGCCAGGAATTATGCGAGGTACAGGGGATATACAGAGGAGAAAACTTCACAGCGTAGGAGTGAACATGGACAGATCAACCAGCAACAGTATCTGAGAATCTCTGCAGGGGAATGGGATTCCTGTGCATCACGGAGCAGAAAGTTCCACTCTTGGGAATAAGAAGGAGGCCAGGAGCGGTGACAGCAGAGTTGGCACCGGAGCACAATTCCGATGCAGAGGTGCAGATGCTGCCTCCGAGTAGGAATGGGGAGGATGTGTGCAAAGACAGGGCGGTGGGAAAGGGTGGGGTGCAAGGACGGCTTTGAGGCTGCCCTGCTTATCCCAGACAAATGTCATCGTTCCTATCCGGTCCTCTTTGACTAATGTTTCCTTCTCTACCTTTCCTCTCACCATGTGGACCGTGATCACTGGCATAATTTGACAGTTTCAGGAGAGTTCTCTAGTTTCCAGGGAATTCTGGTAAAAATACAACAGCAGAATTGTTGCCTTCAGCAAACAAAAAACACCCTATAATCCTTTTGAGGCCCCGACGGAAACCACGTAGATAAAAAATCTTTATCTTAGGCTCTTCAACATTAAGGCAAAAATATCTTACTCAGTCATAAACCTTACAAATAAAGGAGCCTCTCCCCTGAACACTGGTATATAGAGCACCTTTACAAATACACTTGCCACTTTGATTTCGTGAGAAAACCTGAGCGTTTCTTGAATTCAGTGCATGAACTTAAGTGTGAGGACTCTGCGGTGACATGAAGGAAGCTTGTTCAGTGATGAAGCCTGGCCGAGTGCCCATACTCTATGTCTCAGTGAGTTCTCCTTCCTAAAGCATTACCAGTAGGATCTTAGCAGGAGATTTTTATTTATTGAGCACTTAATATACTAAGAGCTTGACTTGCACTGTCTCACTAAATTCCGACAACAGCCCATTTACAGAGGAGGAAACTGAGATCCAGAAAGATTAAATCGTCCAGGGATAGACCCGTAGCTGGGAAGCAGGTAGGTGCTGCCTCCTCAGCTTTGATCATGGTGTAATTCATAATTATATACTTGACTATTGCACCTAACTCCAAGTAGGTTTGAATCTCTGTAATGCTATAACATGATATGAGTCCACTTACAGTACATGGGAACTAAACAAACCTTGAGCTCTTGCAGAAGCCTGTCTGTTTTGGGGATTTTTACAAAGGTCTCTGGACAGAGCCTCCCGGAGAGGTGTCAGCTTACTGAGATCCTCCCTGAACTGCCCAGAATAGCCATGGTGCCTTTAGATGGGTGGGTGGTTCCTGCTTCCCTGACCTCCAGCACTTTGCCTGTCTTCCTGAGAGGAGGGATGGTCTCCAGGCAACACCATGGTCCATCTATTTTCATACTGCTGTAGTGACAGGCATTTTGAAAAAATAAACATGGTTCCAATAGGGTGATGAGATGCTTTTTTGGAGTCTGGCTTACCTGCCTGTTATAATTGTACAGCATCCACCAGTAGGAATTCCAAACAGGAGACACAGATGAATGAAAAGGCCTGCCTGCCCCATGGCCATAGAGGACCAAGACTCACAGAACGCCAACACTGTGCTTTCTCAGGCTAATAGACTTTTTACAATGTCCCGGTCTTGGAGAATGGAAAAAGCGTGTTAGTTAAATCACTGCTAACTAGATTGATGTAACCCAAAACATAGACTGTTGCTGTAATCTGCAGATCATGGCTGGTAAACAAAAGTCAATAGCTTGCCTTTGGTTGAGGTGCATTAGAAGTTACAGTTCCTGGGATCTAAACCTCATGCGTCAACACTTTTTTAGGCCTCAATCTTCCCATCTTGAAAACTAGGTATAGAACAACATGAACTTCAACAACCAGGACCCCCAGAAATGTTCATTTAAACCCAATTTTAGCACACTTTGATGGACTCAGAGTCGCCCTTGCTTGTTCCTAAAACAAACCCCGTGGGGGAGTTCTGTTTGCTGCCTGTCCTTGTGTGTTATCAGAGTTATCTGTTTCCAAAACGAGTTATTGGTCTGCATCAGCTTGGCTCATTTTAAGTGCTCAAAGTTGTAAACAATACAAATATGCATCTTTTTCTCATCAGATACAATGTTTTCTACAATCACATTGGCTGTATCCAAGGGAGATACAGTCCTTTGAGATTGGATTTGATTGAAAATCATGGTGTTCAAAGGGTACTAGGATGTTTGAAGTCCTTTGTAGACATTTCATACGGCCGAAGGCATTCTGTAGAGTGAAAGGTTGTAAACGGAGAAGTGGCTGCCTCACCCAGCAGGGGCCACCCCGAATTCTGGGCCGTGAATGCTGCAGGGATCACTGAGAGGTGAATAATGATCATCATTTGTTTGCCTTAAAGAAGGATAAAATCAGATCCAATCTAAATGATGTTGGAGAACTCGAGGGACGGCATCTGGTTGGGGAATGGTCACACCTTTAGGGTCGTTCTATACATCCCAGTCCTTCTGGGATCAAGTGGGTTAGACCAGGAGAGGCAGAGACTCCAGCAGAGTATGGAAACGAAGGGCACCCTGGTGCACTCGTGTTTTTGTTCCTGCTGTCCCCGGGTGAACCCAGAGCTGCAGCCTTTGTCACGAGGAAGATGCTCTAAGCCATGTTTCAGATCTGCCCAGCAGGGCAGCTCACTCACAGCGCGTGTCTCCCAGCACATCTTTCTTTCATTTTCGTGTGATGACAGCAGCTGAGTTGCCAGTGTGCCCTGACCCTGCTCGCTGTCTCTTTGCTCCCACAGAATCTGTACCAGAACAGGTTTTTAGGCCTGGCCGCCATGGCGTCTCCTTCTAGAAACTCGCAGAGCCGACGCCGGTGCAAGGAGCCCCTCCGATACAGTTACAACCCTGACCAGTTCCACAACATGGACCTCAGGGGCGGCCCCCATGATGGCGTCACCATTCCCCGCTCCACCAGCGACACAGACCTGGTCACCTCGGACAGCCGCTCCACGCTCATGGTCAGCAGCTCCTACTACTCCATCGGGCACTCGCAGGACCTGGTCATCCACTGGGACATAAAGGAGGAAGTGGACGCTGGGGACTGGATTGGCATGTACCTCATTGGTGAGTAGAATGTGCCAAGTGTATTATTCATCATTCACTTTTACATAGGCTGTCTCATTTTAATAACCTCTACCATATAATTAAAATAGACAGGGAACTGTGTTATATGCCAGGTCCGAACACACTGAAGACCACTGTTGCCTGACCTTGCTTTTCTGCAAAGTGGACAGTAAGGCCTCTCCTGCCATCTCTATTCCATGGAAGAAAATCATGAGATAGAGTACAGTGAGGTGTGGTTAAATGCAGACATCATCATTTGCAGCTATCGAAGCTCTTCTACTTGTGAATAAGTTAATATCAAAAGCCTGTTTTTAAATCTATGTGCTTATAAGACAAAGTAACACCATATGCCCAACCAATGTGTGCACATCTATGTGGAGGTAATTTCACTTTAGTTTCCAGCATAATCTTCACCAGCTCTTCCAACATTCTTACTGCTTTGTATTCGACAGACAAGCTGGGGATTATACATACAGGCATGGTGCTGGGGAAAGTTGACTTGCCTCACTCTTTAGGTGGAGATTTATTCAAAATTTTGGAAGTGCCAAAGTTGAAAGTTTACTAGAAGAAATGGTTCTATGTGAATTTTCTAAAGCCTTTGGAAACAAAATAAATTATGCAAATAAGTTGGATGCTGAGGCAATTATTTTTATGAAAGTTTCACCATTCCCGCAGATTGGTTTTGAAACTAAATCTTGTAATTATGGAAGCCAATTTAAATGAAAAATATATTTCATCTATTTTATGTAATAGAATCAACTGTCCTGGAAATTGATGTGTTACCCAAAAGTCGAGTTGTAATTGCTGGAAGGCCACCACAGTCAACAGATTCTAACACACTGAAGACCACAGGTCCATCCGAGGCCAGGCCTTCTGCTCTAACTTCGTGTTGTGCAATATTTGCACATTCAGACACACAACACCGGATTTAACATCACAGAAAGTTATGGATTGTTATGAGTAGTTTAAAGCCTTGACAGTTTTTCTGATAAAATAAAGAGGATCTTATCTGACTAACTAGTTCTCAGGGAAATATTCTTGGGTCTCTTAAAGGTTTTTCCATCAACTTAGTTAGCATGTTTATAATACACACATTCATGTAAAGATGGAGATGCGTACATTGTGGAAATTTTTACACAAATAGCTGTGACTAGCTGAACCGGATTTCTGAAAGTTAAAATTTAATTTGTTTCTGAAAAAAAACAGTTATTGACTGAAAGTAGATACTATTGATCAAGAACAGAGATTGCAAAATAACAGCCCAATGAGCATATTTTTGTTTCATTTACATTGTTTTGTTTTAAATTTTGATTGATCAGCCACACTTAAAATGTAGAGGTTTCAAGTTGAAACCAAACTTTCTAGCTTCTTTTGCAAAAGCCGCCAATTTGGCAGCCTGAGCCTGTGATACCACATGGTTCTAATCTGCTGGAGTTAAGCATCTGCACCCCACTCCGCCTCCCCACCCCCTCCAAGACTGGCCTGTGACCTTCAGTGTTGCCACAGTCCCCTCCCACCCATTCCAACCTTCATCTTGAATATTTTGTGTTTAGCATCTGAGGCAATTAGGTTTAGGGCTCTGAATCTAGGATTTTGGTTTGGTTTGGTTTGGTTTTTGGGTTTTTTTGTTGTTTGTTTGGTTTGGGTTTTTATCAAGATGGAGTCTCACTGTGTTGCCCAGGCTCAAATCAAACTCCTGGCTCAAGGGATCCTCCAGTCTCAGCCTCCCAAAATGCTGAGATTACAGATGTGAGCCACCATGCCTGGCCCAGGTCTAGTTTTGGGTAAACTCCTTACAAGGGCATCTTCTCGCAGCTGGTGAGTGCTGACGCTATTCCTTGAGTCAGGGACCCACTGGAAGAGAAGCCTGTTTGGGGAGAAGGTAATGAGCTCAAGGTGGAATTACTGAGTGTGGGACACCTGAGGGATGTGCGACCACAGTGAATGAATGAATAGGTCTGAAGCTCAGCCAGGGATCCTCACTAGGGTTGTAGATTTGGGGTAACAGACACCTCGGGGGTGGATAAGCTCTAGTGTTGTGTTCAGAAGGAGAGCACCGGATAGTCACAATGAGAGAGGGGCAGGGGAGAGGCAGACAAGGAACTCAAACAGAAGAGAAGGAGGTGGTGAAGAGGCAGGACAATGAGGACACTGGAAAGGACAAAAGAAGAGGGTGGTAGAGGAGGGGGTGGGTAGCCAGATATTACAAAACTCCGTGAATGAATAAGATCTGGTGTTATCATGACATTTTGACTGAGACAAAAGTAACCACAACTCATCATCCTAGAACCTTAATTTGACAGTTTGTTATTCTCATTGTGGCTACACATATATAACTGTGAAGTTATGTAATGCAAAATGCCAACACTTTCACAGCATAGCATTTCAAAAATAACTTCCCAATCCGAAAGTGTCTGTGAATCTTAAAAGTTAATAATGTGTAAGTCCTTCGTATCTTATCTTCCGCATTTACCGTGCTACGCCAGAGATTAAATCAGAGATCTAGGCTGAGAAACGTAGACATGGTGATTTCATCTCATCTGTCACTTCATGAATGAGGTGACTCCGTGGCTCCCACAGTCACACAGCTGCCTCCCCTGGCACAAGACTTAGGCTGCCACAAGTGTAGCACAGCGTTGTGGTGCAGTGATGGGTATGGGCCATGCCACATCCATGAGCCCTGAGACGTCCAGCACAGGCCAGGGTTGTGACGCTTTCAGCCTGGTAGACTCCTGGAGCTCTCAAAGCAAACAGGACTGTTCTGCGGTAAGAGGGTGAAAATGCCTGGATGTGGAGGGGGGTGGGGAGCGTGTCGCTGCTGATTTATGGATACCGACTCTGAAGAATTAAAGTTTTTCCTTGACATCAGGCACCCTATTCGAATCTAAAAGAGCAGAAACTGTATTTCTCAGTTAAGACACAAAAAAGAACTCTTGAGTCCAAAGAAACAATATGAAGGAGAAGCCACAGATGAGGAGAAAGTGGCACTGATTTTTAGGAGCTCTTCTATCGCTGTATGCTTAGAGTCCCTTCTTCTATAAGAAATTGAGCTTCTGCATCATTGGCTTAGTAATAAGAAAGACAAATAGATTCTCCCAATATCTCCTGTCCCATTATTATTATTGTTGTTATTTTCAGACAGTCTTACTCTGTTGCCCAGGCTGGAGTGCAGTGGTGTGATCTTGGCTCACTCCAACCTCTGCCTCCTGGATTCAAGTGATTCTCCTGCCTTAGGCTTCCGAGCAGCTGGGACTACAAGTATGTGACACCACGCCTGGCTAATTTTTGTATTTACAGTAGTGATGAGGGTTCACCACATTGGCCAGGCTGGTCCTGAACTCCTGACTTCAGGTGATCCACTCACCTTGGCCTCCCAAAGTGCTGGGATTACAGGCATGAGCCACCATGCCCAGCCTCGTGCTATTATTTTGTAAAGCCATACATGGTCCAGCCACAGTGGGAGAATCCTGGGAGATCTTTTCTAAGATTTGGTGGTCAGAAAGCATGAATTACTCTGAAAAATGGAAGCCATATCTTTTTTCTGATGGGTGTAGGAGACCTGGGTAGTATACTGATTCTCTCTTTTAATCAGTCATGGGTTCACTTGCTCATTCCACTCCTAACAGCAATACTACGTTTGTCGTCCACTCTTCTGTTATAGATTATGGTATGGAAACCATAGCTATAATTTTTATTTTCAACAAATCAAGAGAAAATACATTACTTGTTTCTTAGGTATTCTGTTTCTATAAGCTTCATTAGAACTTTCTGATTAAAATTTTCATAACCTACAAAGATCCTTTCTCTTATAAACTGTGGAGCAGGTGGTAGGACTCCACGCACCAGAAGAAATACATACCACTCAGAAAATACATGAGAAACTTATCTCTACATGTTCTGTACAAAACGTACGCTGACAGAAGCTTAACCAGTACTGATGTGAGCTAGTGTTTCAAGTTATTATTAATGGTTTTACATATTAAATATCATAGAGATTTGCAATAGAGGGCCCTATTTTTAGCCCAGATTCTAAGCAGAAATAGCTGCTTATTAGATGTTGGACACTGTTCTAAGACCACTAGCTGTATTAGCTCAAGGAATCCTTACAATAAGATTTTGAGGTAGGTACTTATAGTATGTCCCCATTTTGTAGTGAAGGATTAAATCAACTGCCTAAGATCACATAGTAATGGTAGATTTAAGTTTCCTTCCTCAAAGGGGATGTACTATTGCTCCCATAAAGAGGCTTTTATCATGACAAAGAATGCAGAAAATAACAGCCTCCTGGTAGAGAGACCAGAGCACCCATTGCTCACTGAGGTGGAGAGCAGGACTTGGCCCACAGCATCCATTCCAGTTCTCCTCCCTTCCCCTCCCCCCTCCCCCCTCATGCCTTCCCCTAGTGCAGAATCTGGTCCTCTAAATTTTCGTTTCCCAGATTCCTGTGCAACCACGTTCTGGATGCAAATTCAATTCATGTAGCTGTACCTGTGAAAGATCGGGAAGTGAATATGTGAAATGTGGGGATCTGCTCTTTGGCCTGTGGCTACTACAAACATGGCCTTGAGAAATGGAGCTTTCCTGCAGCAGTGTCCCAAATCTACTCTCTAGCTTCCTGGGAGCCAAAAGGCAGTGGGGGTGGGGACAGGCTCTGCTTGCCAGAGGCTGGTCACTGTCTTTGTGGGTGGAGAGGCAGCCACCATGGCCTGGACAATGGCCTCCTGCTCTCCAGATTGCAGTGACTATACTGAGTTTTCGTATTTAGCAGGTCCCAAGGCAGCCCATGTGAGTGACGCAAAGGCAGAAGCCTCCTTGTAGCGCCAGTTAAGCAGAGTTATCCTGATTCCAGAAGCCCCACCTAGAGTCCAGTTCTCCAGCACCGAACTCCCTGTATTAAATCCCTTTCTGCATAAAACACATAGACTGAGTCTGGATTTCTGCAGCTGACCCTGCCAATGCATTTGGATTCCTGAGCAAAGACTAAGTAACTTTTCTAACAA